AGACGGGGAGTGGGGGGAGGGGGGCATCCGGTAACGGGGCGCGGAAGGACCTGGAGGCTTCCTGAGGGCCGGCCAGGCCTGTGCTAGATGTGGGGAGAAAGAGGCTTCAGAGGGGTCACAGACAGTCTAACCTGTGGCCCTGCTTTCCAGGCCGAGTGACGAGCAGCATCCGGAAGTGAAGGCTGACGGGTACGTGGACAACCTGGCAGAGGCCGTGAACCTGCTGCTGCAGCACGCCATCAAGTGATGAGCCTTGTGGGGCGGCCCCTAGCCTCGCGCCTCCCCCCACCCCCCGCCCCGTGCCCGGGCCAGGTGCCTCTGCTTCCCCCCCCGACTCCTGGAGAGTTGTTGCTCCCCGGATGGCCTGCCCCCCCCACCCCGCACTGAAGTCCGAGGGTGGGACAGACCCCTGGGTGCCTCCAGGAACACTCTCTGGGAACACACTCCAGCCACCTGGCCCTGTGAACATCCCCACTAACTGGACTGAGGGACCTTCACCCCCCTGCCCCTTTATCACTCATTCTGTGCATTTGACGGAGGAGCCTGGAGAAGGTGGGGGCTTCCTGCTCCGTCCATGCGGCCCCGGGGGCTGAGCCAGCCTCCCTGGGACTGCCCAGCAAATCCCCGCCTGCCTCCTGGCCCCCACCCAGAGTCAGAGTGGCCACTGGGCACCCCCTCCCTCTCCTACCCCAAAAAGCACCTTGGAGCCCGAGGCTGGGGCAGCTCCCGGGGCACTGAAGACGGCTGTCCTTCAAAAGCAAGAATTGTAACCGCGGGAGTCAAGGCTGCGGGCCCAGAGGGTGCTTCCGGGGCCCCAACTTGGTAGACTTGAGTGTGTCATGCCCCACGTCTGCAGGGGCAACTACTGTTAAATAAACTGTCCTGACCCGACTTGGCCTCTGACTCAGAGTTTGACGCCTGGGCGGGGGTGGGGTGCGGGCCCCGGCACTGGCCTGGTGCTGCCACGCGCTTGAGCCATTGAGCAGCAGAGGGCCAGGGTCCCAGACACCCGAGCTGCCCCAACCCCCTCCGGGAGAACGGAGGCCCTGAGCGGACAGCGGGCTGCCCTCGGCCCCACCGGGGACAAGCTGGGCCGGGGCGAATGTTGGCCGGCTCTCCCGGGCCGCCCTGCGGAGGGTGGTGGTGAGCCACAGGCTTCCAGAATTCACTCAGAGGCCGGGGTTTCAGGTTTCAGAATCAGTCAGCGGAACAGATCAATTGATTGCGCTGTTTCTCCTCAAATCAATCCAGAAGTCCCTGATGAGTCTTGGGCGACAACCACACATGAAAGAAGCCTTGGGTCCTCCATAGCAGGGTTTCCACCAAGCGAAGGCAGGGGATAAAAGGCTGGACCCTGAGTACCGCCCGAGTTGCCCTGGCACCGGGGCCCCGGGCCCACGGGGGCTGTGCTGTCCCGAGGCGGGCCGGCCACCATTAAATCAGGATTAAGAGGAACCAGTGGCCAAGCCTTTTCATCAGGAGGAGAGGCCACCGGCAGGGCTGGTGTCCGTGGCGGGCGGGGGAGGAGGGCGTGTGGCCTGTTGGCTGCGACACAGGCAAATCGCCTGCTCCTTGGAGCCCCCTCGTTACAGCTTGTTAGCAGATCGGCGGGCCGCGGTGGACGCAGCTCGCCAGGGCTTGGAGGGCAGCGTCAAGGAGACGGGCTTGCCACGTTCCGGTCAGGTTGTCTCGCGGGTCCTTGGTTTCCCTCTTTCTCTTTCACGGGCTGCCCTCGCTGGCTGTCCCGGCTGGAGCTTGCGGCCAGGGCAGCGCCATCCCCAGAGGCAGCAGGCTCCTGTTGTCTGTCCACGGACCAGCTGCCTCGCAGGAGGGGGACAGGTGTCTGAGGGACAGCTCTGGGGTGGGGGGCGGCGCAGCCGTCTGCTGGGTCCGGCCGGAAAACGTGCCGCCCCCCCCCGGGGCCGTAGGTTCAGCAGAGTGGACGTCCGCACTCTACCCGTTTTACAGACAAGGAAGTGGAGGTGTGGACAGAGGACCTGCCCGCGGGCTGACAGCTGGTTAAGGGCAGAGCTGAGACTCCGACCACGGTCTGACCCCACATCCCATGTCCTTTCTGGTCCCTCCTACAGTCCTTCCGGGGAGGTGGTCTGTGGTGGCCCGGCGGCCGTGGCTTTCTTGGTGAGCCTGCACCCTGGTGCTCCCCCCGCTGGAGAAGAAATGTTCTTGGGGACTGAGGTCCATTCAGCCCTAGCACGGGGGGCACCCTCTACAAGCTTCGGCTGCCCTGACTGTAAAAGGGGGGGCCTCCTTTCCTGAACAGGCACGCACAGAGCCCTGCGGGGGACCAGGCCATGCCAGGATGTCCTGCCACCTGGCTGGGTCTGACGACCTGTGCTGCCGCCACTCTCCCTCTGCCTGGAAGGGAGAAGGGGGGCCTCCCTCCCCTCCAGGGTCCTTCCAGCCGCCCGCGGTCCACCTGCAGCCGACCCTCCTTCCCCAGGTGGGAGCAGTTCTCAAGCCACGGACTGACGGAGCCGTTGGCTGTGGGTGGGGCTGGAGTTCAGGGCCGCCAGGGGCCTAATTACCTGTCTGCGGTCAGGAGATGTACCAGGTCTGCCGCTAAGAAATGGACCCTCCGAGCCCAGGGAACAGGCCAGGTTGGCTCTGTGGGCCCTTCCGGCAGAGCCCTGGACTGAGGGAGTGGCCCGGGCCCGGCCACGCTGCCCAGGAGGACATCCCAGGCTCTGGTGGCCACCAGCCCAGCCACGTCTGGGACGGGGAGGGGCGGATGGGGTGCAGAGGGGAGGACAGTCTTGCAGGGTCTTCAAGGGCTTCACCTACCGCCCCCAGGCCTTCCAACGCAAGCATCCACACGGTATCGGCCCGGGGCTGCATATGCCACCGGTGAAAACCCGATTCCACCTGGGTTAATCATGCAGCAAGAGAGTTTATGTCTCACCTCATTGCCAACTCCAGGGCTGGCTGGATCCGGATCCCAAGGAATTCCCAGGCGACCCTGAGGCAGGGTAATGGCAGCCCCACCCAAACTCCCCCGAGAGGAAGGAGGCAGCGTGGCACCGGGAGGACAGATGAACGTGACCGGAGTCGGAGCCTCAACACCAGGCACGCACGCCTGTCACGGGGCCTGGGTGACTTCAGTGCTACTCTCCTCCTCCAGGTCGGGGCGGGGAATAAGGCCCCTCCAAAGGCCTGGGCCTTCCTGCGGGGCCAACTCTGCCCCTCCTGGGTGGAAAGGGGCACAGAGGTGGGGACGCACGGCGGGACACACATGCCTGCCTCCTGGGGGCTGGTGGCGCCACCTCCCACCTCGGCGTGATAATCCCGAGGGCCTGTCCCTTTCTCTCTCTCAGAAGTTTCCCATTTAGATGATAAATATATTGGTATAAAAAGAAACCAAAAGTCACTCAGAGTCTGGCCTCTGTTACTGTTGAGGGGCCTTTCCTTTCGGCCTTTTTTCCAGGAGAAATGTTTTTAACACTCTCTGGATCGTCCGCTGTGGTGCTGGGGGTTTGGGGCACTGACTCTCATGTAAGCCCCGCAGGTGTTCCAACCTGCCCACGCCTGCAGAAGCTGCTCGGTCAGCACGCTGCCTACCATCGGGTGCGGGCGTGGGCCAGCCCAGCACCAGGGTCCGCAGACCCGCGGCCGGACCTGTCAAGAGGGCTGAGGGCCGCATGCCGCCCCGCGGGCCCGGCGCCGGTGCCCAGGGCAGAGTCCTGCTTTCGAGCAAATCTGTAGGCACAGCAGCTCGGGGTGGGCAGTGTCCTTCCCCTGCCACTGGGGAAAGCACAGGGTGGGGAGCGGGGTGGCCATGGCTGGGCCCAGGCCGAGCTGGAGGCTGGGGCCCAGCCGGGGACCGCCGCTGAGGGGGGCTGGACGTCTGTCTAGGGCCACCTGCCCGGGGAACAGGAGGCAGAGCCCCCGGGGCCCTGGGCCTTGGCCGTGCAAGGATGCCTAGGGAGGGGCTGAGGGATTCCCCACCCCCCCAGGATTCAGCCACAGCAGCCTTGCGTCACCTGGGTCGTGAGTTCGGTGTTCTGCACCATCCTGGAACGGGGGCTGCTGGAAAGAAACCCAACCCACAGGAAGTGTCCAAACGCAGTGCTTTGGTGCCTCATGCCCAGAGGGGCATCCTCAGGACCTAGTGGATGTTCGAGGGGAAATCTCTGTGGTCCGATTTTGTGAGCAAACGCTGGGCTAGAAATTTAAACAAGCCTCTCAAGCCTGTCCTCAAGGCTGCAAATGTCCTGACTCTCCGGAGCTTGGTCAGCCAGGCGGCAGTGATCTGCAGGGCCAGGCCCAGGGGCCGTGTGCCCCGGAGCCCACTGTGGGTCCGGCTGGAAGCACGGGCACCCCCGACCCCGGGCGGGAGCAGTGCAAGTGGGAGCCACGCTGCCCTAGTGGGGAACGGAGGCCCCGCCGGCACGTCCTCCGCACCTTGCCGGTAGGGAGGTGGGCTGCAGGGCGCCGGGCCAGGCCTTCCACAGCGGCGTGACCTGCAGCAACAGCACGACGTGGGGCACACAGCACTGCGGAGGCCCCGCTGGTGACGCGCCAGCTCCGCGGAAGGCGGACTCCTCTACCACGCCTGACTCGGAAGTCCCACCTAGCCGGCGGCTCCGCTCTGCCGGCCGGGGGCGGGGGGGGGGGGGGGGGGGGACCCTGGCTCCCGGCTGGAGGCAGGGGCTGGGCCCCTCCACCTCCAAACACGCAACCGTGTGCGCACACGCATCGCTCTGGGGGCCGGGCTGCTCGGACCGTGCTCTAGAAGGGCTCCCTCGTGGACCACGGCTGTGGCCGTGGCCAGCCCTCCTGCTCACAGTGGCTCGCTCCCCCTCCCCCTCCGAGCCCCGGGACAGCTCTGAGATGTCCGCTCGCCCCATCTTACAGACCCGGCCCCGAGGCTCGGAGGGGACAGAAGGGCCCCCCGCCCACCCAGAGCTACTGCTCCCACGGACGAAGCGGGGGGAGCCGCCAACCCACCACAGCCAACAAACCACACAGCAGGCTCCCAAAGGCTGGGTACTGAACCAGGAAGCTTTATTTACACCAGTAAGAGTAACAAGCAAATTCCTGAGAGACTAGAGCGGCTCTAGTGCAAGACAGTCGTGGCCCGCGCGGGAGGCCAGGCAGCCGCGGGCGGAGGGGGCGGCGCAGGCCCGACGCGACTCGCTCGGGCCGCCTCACTTCCTGCAGCTCCACGGCACCGACGGCGTGCGGGTCGGGACAGCCCGCGACAGCCCCCATGTCAGCCCACGTGCTGTCCCCGAGCCCGGGACATCTCCTCCACGCACTGAAAACACAACTTATTTGCCAAAGAGACTATGCTAGAAGATCAGACTATCCTACCTAGGCTACCTATCTCTGCTGTGGTCTGGGGTGGGGGGTTTTCATGATCTCTTCTTTTCTCTTTAAGGATGAGGCAACGTTTTCTCTGACTGGAGCCAATGGGAAGGGTCTGACCAACTGTGCGGATGTGGCAAGATGCGGCGTCACTACCTGTACGGGGGTGGGGTGGGGGTGGGGGGCAGAGTGGCTGGGCCACGCCAGCCACGGTGTGGCCAGCTGAGCCCTGGGCCCTGGGCCCTGGGGCACTGCTCACGCCCAGGGCCCAGGCCCAAAGCGGTCATCGTTCAGGGAACGGCCCCAAGGCCACAGAGGGCACGTGACTCTAACCTCACGGGCCGACACGGAGGCTCAGGCCGGGCCCTCCGCAGAGCGTCCAGGGCTGGGTTTGAAATACCACGGAAGCTCGCTCAGAGCGGCGGTGCCCCGAACGCCCCCCCCCCCCCCCCCCCGCCGGGGGGGCCGCCTCAGCCAGAGCAGGGAGATCGCACACCACCCCTGCGCTAGGAGACCCATTTGAACATTTGGGTTTGTTTCCTTTTCAGTGTGGACCTTTCCTTTATTTAAATTTTCTTTGCGCGTACAAATTCACAAAACTTTCCTGCTACAAACATTTTGATGACGAGTAAGGCTTTCCGAGAATGAAAATCCATGGATGATCGGCACAAGCGCCCCCGTGGCCTGGATGTTGTCTGCCCGCGGGCCCTACTCCGGCCCGGCCTCCACCGCGAATAAGGCAAGAGGGTTTGTGGTAAACGGTGAGGCTACGGCCCTGACCCGGCCCCACCCGGCCCCTGCGGGCAGACAGCGGCTCCTGTCAGTCCTGCGGCCATAGAAAATGCTCCTTCTGGAGTAGGTAGGGATGCAAGCGACAGGGACTCTCCTCCCCACCCCGCTCTCCTGGAGCCACGACCCTGCGTTGGTCCTTCAGGGTCGCGGGCAGGCAGGCGGCTTGGTGCAGCCCTCCCTCCTGGCTCGGAATGTCCTGGGTCTCCCTTCAGAGGGAGGAGCTCCCGGGCGCCCCCTAGGAGAGGCAGGGCCTGGACGACGGTGGGGCTCCTGCACGGTGAGCCTGCCAGCCCGCCCACGGCCGCACGGGGACAGCCATGCGCAGTCAGAGGGAGCCCCTAGGTGAGCCTCCCTCCAAGAGCCTCCAGACCAGACGTCCTGGTGTCAGCAGGGCGGAGCATGGACATGCCTCCCTGGGCGGTGGGGTGGCACCTGCCACATGGGGTCGGCGCTCTCCACTCAAAGGTGAACATGAAACGACTGAAGGGCGTTTCTCTCTCTGAGCAGAAGGGACAATGGCCATCCTCTCCCCCCACAGCTGCTGCTGGGGGCTTGGGCTAGGAGCTTCGGTGGGAGTGAGGACAGCAAAGAGGGGCCTGAGGACGCTGGAGGGCCAAACTCTGCCCTGGGCTGGGGTACCTTCTGCCCGAAAGTGCCCTGGGACTGGGTTTGTGGGTCAATGGGACCAGCTTGGGAGGCGGCGGGAAGGCTTGGCCTTCCCTGCCACCAGGCCTGAGAAGGGGGTAGGTTGCTGGGCAGGGTCTGAAGGCAGGTCACCTGCCCCATAGCCCTGTGACACACCCCCACTACCGTGTGCCGCCCCCGGTGACTCTGAGGAAAGGCTGCTGGGGGTCACCGCTTAGGCCCCTCTGGTTCGGCTCTCGGTCCCTCCCTGTGGCCTGGACCAGGAGACGGGGCCCCGCCTCTCCTTCCACAGGAAGGACTGCTTTAGAGGCCACTGTGGCCACTCTTGGTGTGGGCTGGGTGCCGGGACTGCCCACCCCAGGCTTTCTGAAGACACAAGGCACCAGCGTGTGCTCCAAATTCATAATGCTGCCAGACGTCACTCAACAACGACCCCACCCTCTTCCGGGTCTGTTCTAAGAAAACATGTCCTCCCTGACCCATGGTGTGGGGATCAGACAAGATGGCAGGTCTACCCAGAGCCACCAGCTCCCTGCTTTGTCTCTCCAGGGCCCTGAGGGGACATGCCTTTCGTGGGAGCCACGGAAGGGTAACTGGTTCAGGCCCCAGGACCTGCCATGTGCCCACACAACCACGATGCTCTCTGACCTGAGGCTCTGAACAATCTGGGAGGGCCATGGAGTTGAGATTTTCTCTACAAGCATCTGATGGTTGATTTTTAAGAAACACCACCATATAAATCAGAACTTGAGCACCACGCTTTTGATCGAGTAAAACAGTCAAGGTGTAAGTAGAGTTTCCCAAACAGGGTCCTTCCTTTGGGGAAAGAGGGTGAGAACCGTTCGTACTCACGCTGTGAAAGTGAGGCATTCGCCGTCCACAAAAAATGAGCAAAAGCAAAGAGACTATGAACGTGCCTTTGTTACGTGTCAGCAAACTCAAGAGAATACACCAGTTATTTTTAGCCACATGGGGAAAGGACCCAATTGCTACTGTCTGCCGAAGATGCCAAGTTTCCTACAAGCCAGACTCCAAGAGAGCAGAGCCCGTGTGGGGTGTCTGCCAGTCGGGCTTCCTGAGAGCAAAACCTCAGGGGGTCGGGGGGTGGGCGGGGAGGGGGGGGCCGGGGAGTCCGCAGGGGTGCAAGGAGCTGGGGACGCAGCGGTAGGCACTCTGCTCCCCCGGCTGACCAGCAGGGGTGCTCGTCTGGAGGTGGACGGCGCACCCAGATTAAAGCCCACAGTCCCACCGACTAGCGCGAATGTGCTTAGAATACTGCAGGGGCCTTGCAGGCCCCCCAGAGCAGCCAACAGACCTCCTCCACCCCTGAAATGTGCACAGGGCCTGGGTGCATGCACCTGCTCGCAGCTCCTGCCTCCTGAGGGCATTTTCAAGAGGTTGCCTGTTACTGGTGACCTCTCCCCACTCACCGGAATCAAGCTAATCACTCAGTGACAGGTTCGCCACAGAGAATGGCCACCATGTGCCAACCCTTCCCGAGCGGCAAGTAGTTCTGTCTTTTTGGCCAACAGATCCACCCACATCTACCCAACGCAGACGCCTCTAACGAGCAGCCCAAGCTGTTCCCCAGGCCCCCAGAGTTCCGACATGGAGAGCCCCCCTGGCACCCCAGGGCCTCTGTCTCCTGCACTTGGAATTAAGGCCAAATGGTTCTGATGTTACTACAGAGGAAAGCATCTCCCGAACCTTCCCAAGCCTGAAGCAGGGAGACCTGGGAGAGAAGGCACGGAAAACAACGGAGTGAAAGAAGCTGTGGGGCCGACCCCCCGAAATGAACCTGAGCAGGAGGCCGGGTGGACCTGAGCACAAGCCCGCCCCCAGCAGCCCCGCCGGCAGTCACGTGCCGGGCAGCAGGCCCTGTGCGACCCCAGTGAGGCACCCAGCGGAGGGGGCGGCCGGCCAGGAACAGGGGGAAGGGGCCCAGACCAGCCCAGCTGCTGTCGGGCTCCGGGGGTGCGATGGCCGTGGCCGCCGTGCTGGGGAGGGGTGGGCAGGCAGGCGGGCCAGGCTCTCCGGGGGCCACTGCGCTCGCTCCCCGGCACCCGCAGCCCCCGGGGAGCGCAAGTCAGGCCCGGGACGGGGGCTCCCCGCCGCCCCTCAGTTGTTCTCTATCTGTTCGATGTCCAACTCGCCGTCCAGGGAGCAGGGGCTGTTGCCGGCTGCCCCGCGGTCCCGCCAGGCTGAGGCCGGCCCCCAACTCCTGGCACAGCCCTCGGCCAGGGCGCAGCCGCCTGACTCCTCACAGCACTGCTCCTCCTTGCAGGCCAGCTGGTCGTCGAAAGCCGGGGGCAGAGGCTCGGGGACCGGGGTCCCGGCGGGGGTCCTGCCCCCCAGGCTGGAGGCCGAGGCCGAGAGCAAGGCGGTCCAGGACCTGGTGCTGCTGACATGGAGGGCGAAGGGGCTGTGCGGGCTGCAGTCCTCCATCCCCGCGCTCAGGCAGCTGAGGCTGCTGAAGGTCTGACAGTTCTGTGGGGAGACAGACACACCGGTCACTGAGGGTCCCGTGCCCGTCCCGAACCCAGGGGCCGCACGCCACAGACAGCTGGCTGCAGCCCCTGGGGCTATGTGGCGATGGGTCCGCTGGGCAGTGGCAGTCCACCAGAGCCCGGCCTCCTCCATCACCTGGACAAGAAGAGGGGCCATGCAGGAGCAGGTCGGCAGGAAGAAATCTGCCCCAGTCAACGAACGCTGGGTTAACAGACGCAAAATCCAGTGACCCACAAATTAGGAAAGAGCCCGAGCTTGACGCCGCCCAGTCGAAGGGAAGCTGCGGGAGGAAGGCCAGGCTCCGAACCCGGCGCAGACCACCCTTCTAAGGGGTGGGCTGGCAGAAATGCACCACCTCCCTTCAGCGGGCAATTTCGCTTCTAGAATTTCTATCTTCAGAAAACACTTTAGGATGCATGCAAAAAATCAGCAAAATGACTCCATGTCATACCGCTGAGTTGAAATGAAGCACAAGTAATCCAAATCCCCCATGATAACAGTTCCATAAAACATGTCTTTTCAGACAAGGGGAGGCGAGGCGAAGGCTCTGTGGCCTTAGAAAGAACACTGCCGGAGTGAATTTCCAGACCGAAGGGAAACCTCATCAGGCTGCAGAGCTGCACAGGGGGTCTAATGCCCACCGACCCCCTCACCGTGACCAGGAGTGGGAGATGGGGCCAGGAGGGTAGCCCTGACATCCCAGCCATCCAGAGAGCTGGTTCCCGTGTGAGCCTGAGCCCCACGCCTGGAGACACCGATTCTCTAGTGAGGGTCAGGCCCCCGTGCCCTCAACAGGCGCTCTCGGTGGTGGATGTCGCAGCTCTGCAGGTGGGAGGCTGGGCTCACTAGCTGGGGGCCTCAAGCAGACCCCTCAGTCACCCTGGTCTCGGCTGCCTCATCTGTTAAGAGGCAAACAATGGTCCCTACACCTTTCTGTAGGGCTCTTTGAGGGCCCAGTGGGAAATGGTGGCTGCCCACCAAGTGCTGTCTCTGTGTGGGGCCAGCCTGGGGAAGGAGGCAGCCTGGGGCCTCCCTGAGTGGCAGGCGTAGCTCAAACAGGACCCAAGGGTGCTTGGGAACACTTGTTCTCGAGAGGGAGCAGGCCCAGCACTGTGCACAAACGGGTTAGGTAAAACGCCTGCTCTCACAACAGAGCAAAAATCAGGACAGAGGGTTGTGACGGCTAGGGGTGCCCACAGCCTTGCCCTGGGGACCCCCCTCCCACAGGACCAGCAGCAATGCCGTCTCCTGTCAAAGTGGACTCGAGGGGAGAGATGTGCTGCAGGACAAAAGAGAGGCCTTTGGGCTCCAGCTGCTTCCCTGCAGCAAGCACAGAGAGCATGCACGGGGGAGCGGGGCGGGGACCCGGAGCGCCGAGGTCACAGGCCGTCCCGAGGGCCCTGGTCCTTTTGCAGGTCACTCTGAAGTAAAGATGACCACCAGCTGTCATGGCAAATGGGCTCAGCAAACGGAGAAAAGCCGCTGTCTCTGGACGAAGGTGGCTATGCCTGCCGTGGGCACGCTCATTGTTCCTGAACGCTCCAGAGCAAACTGGTCTCATGGGTTTGCTTTTCCTGGAATCTTTTGATTAACTGAGAAAGGTGAAGGCTAGGGGGCTGGCCGGCTCTGGGAGAGAGCGCTAGGATTGAAGAGAGAAGGGCCGGGCCACCGATGAGAACTGCGAGGCTGGCCCAGGCCTGGCAGAAGCCCGGGTCATGGCACCGGCAGCCTGGTGGCCCTCCAGTCCCCCGGTCCGGGGCCACCGTGGGGTTCAGCGAGGCCTCGGTCCGCACAGGGCACATTCCCTTCCCCACCACAGTGCAGGTCTGGAGGCGGCTCCCAGATCAGAACACGACCTGACTCTTGGCAGGTGGAGGCCCCAGACGCCCCCGATGGGAGGGTCTCTGGGGCCCCTTCTGCCTCCCAGCCACTCTCTTATCCTGCCTAGACCTGAGCCAGGACGCGAGAAGGTGGGTGGATGGCCTTGCCCGGACAGGGTCGTCAACCCTCCACCTCAGCCTGTGTCCCCGGTTGCCCTGGGCAGGAAGTGTCGTGGAGCCCAGGCGCCCGGGGAGCCCGATCCGGCACCCCCACGCGGCTGACCAGTCAGCCTCTTCGACCTAGAGGAGCTGTGGTCTGCCGTGAGTGGCGACGTGAGTCCTGTTATAAAATAACAACGTCCAACGTAAGCCGGATGTGCTGCGAAGGGGTCACAGGGAATGCCCCTGGGGATCAACCACGTCTGTCCACCCCCGGGTGCGGGGACCCCCCCGCCGCGAGCTCCAATGCGGCAACAGTGGGAAGCGCCGGCATAAAGCTGAGGAGGAAATGCTCCCGAGCCTGCGAGCCTGCGTTCCCCTTCCCCGGCTGCTCAGACAGCCTCACCCACAGACTGACCTCGGGGGTTAAAGGTGCAGGTGGGTGGGGGTGGAGGACTCTGTGTTTGACTTTATGGCAAATGTGACAGTCTTTGTCTGGGCACCAATCATGTTAAACATTAGCCACACCGGCAGCAGGGCGCTGGGGACCCCAGTTTGCTGGGACCTTCCTGCTTTTGCCTGAAGTATTCCCTGGAGAGAGCTGAGGTCAGACAGGCTATCCCAGACCTGGACTCTGCCACCAATGAGTACCAAAGCTTCAGACAAGACCCTCTAAGCTATGGACCTCAGCCCACCTGCCAAATATGGGGTGGCCCCAGGTGCAACTGTCTGGAATAACTGGGTCCTTTTTGCTTTGCAGCAGGACAAGAAGCTGCCAGGTCTGGTTGGTGAATGTTGTCACAAGCATACCCCAGGCTGTCACTGAACCCCACCCCCCAGAAGTCCTCAAAGGCACCTGTTCCTTGACTGCAAAGCCAATGTCACCTTGAAAACTCTGTTGACTCAAAACTCAGCCGTTTCAGCCAGAGGCAAAACCAAGACCAGCCCGCTGAATGCTCCAGCTGGTGGCAAGCCCCACCTGCCAGGGAGGAATGTGACCGACACAATGGGGCAGTGTGTGTCCCGCCCAGACTCCATCCCCGGGTGAGCCTACCCCGTGCCGACACCCAGGGCCTAGAGCTACCCGGTGCCCACCACGCCCTGGGGACAGGGTCCTGCCTAGCCTCTCCTGGCAGCTCAGCTTCCCCAGAAGCCCGGCTCCCGCAGAACGCTGCTCGGGCCTGCTGAAGGCCCGGAGGCCTGCGTGCCCTCAAAAATGTCTGGGGAAAGCTGCTAACGAGTTCAAAGCACCACATGAACACATCATTCCATTGTGAAATGGTTGCTCCAGGACAAACAGTCCCCCCCCCCCCCAAACTCTGCTCTCCTGAGGCCCAGCCCTGGCCCAGGGAAGGGCCACCCACTTGGGCACAGGCCCACTCAGGTAACCAAGATCAGAAGGAGCCATGGTTGTGGCCTCAGGCTAGTGGCTGAAAACACTGTTCAGCACCCCAGTCCTAGAGTCTGGGGTGACTTCCAAAAGGAGCCCCTAAATGTCAAGATGTTCCCATCAGACCCGCCAGACCTCAGCTCTAGCCAGCACATTCCAGCCCACCCCAACCGTACCCCCAGGGTTTCCCAGTCAGGAGCATCGAGCCCCCCTTCCACATTCCTACATCCTCCTGGGTGGGAGCCCCTTGGCCCAGCTCTGGGGACAAAGGTCCTCACCTTCTGCAGTGCACCCCCAGTGGAAGTCTGTGTGGTCCTCCTTGAGGATGGAGGCCCATCAGACCCGACCCTGGGCAGCGACAGCACCTCAAGAGCCAGGCCCAGCTCCCTTCTCTATGCCCAGTCTCCCCCACCCACACTGTGAAGGGTCCAGGAAGGTCACAGTCCCTCCAGATGGAGGCACCTGTGCCTGGGGCTGCAAGCTAAAACAACACCCCCCTCCCCTGGAAACTCAAGTTAACTCAACAGACGCTCAGCCTCATCTTGCTGCACGTGCCAGCTTGGGCCCGCAAGCTCCTGCCCTCCTCTAGTGTTACTGCTCTGATGTTAGCCTGGAGGAGCACAAGGGAGGGAATCCAGAATCGTCTACTAGCTGAATTGCACCACAGGCTTAATCAATAAAGACCCAGAGCATAAGGCTGGGGGTGGGGGAACAACAGACTTCCCCCGAGAAGAGTTTGGGGATGCCAGAGTGCCCCTGCAGGAAGGGGTGGGGGCAGCCCACAGACAAGGACAAGAGTCCCCTTTCTCCCGACTGTCCTCCCCTAAAGGGGGCAGGCTGTTCTCCTCATTCCCGTCTCCCTGGACACCCCCCCCCCCCCCATGCCCCGAACCTAGCACGCGTGGTGGAGCAGCTCAGGAGGGAGCTTCTGGAGTTGGAGGAACTGGGCCCACGTCTGACCCCTCCACTGCTCATTTTCCAGAACAGCAATGCAGGTCCTGGCCAGAGGTGGACTGCTGAGTCCCGCAGGAGCCCGGCAGCCAGGAGCCAGCCACCTGCTGTTTGCTGGGGAGCAGTGGTTCCTGGGACCCCTCTCCTTGGACGTTCTGCAACCTGAGTGTGGTGCCCCCACAGAGCTGCCCTTAGCATCAAACTGAGACAAGACATGCCCCCCCACCCCCAAGGCACACCCCTTCCCAGACAAGAGCTGTGGCAGAGCCCTCCACTCTGGCTTCGGCCGCTGGTCTTCTAGACAAGCACACTTGGCTTTTCCTCCATTGAAGGCTGTCCCCCCTCTTTTCAACCCAACTTTACAAATCTCTTCATGTTACAGATTTTGGAGGGAGCTACCTCCAGTATAATTTGGGCATAAAGAAGCCCAACTCACAAGTCAGGATGGTCAGACCCGGTACCGTCCTGGCCTGAGCTGCCCGGAGCCTTGCAGCTGCTCTGCTGGAAGTTGCTGGGCCCAGGGCTCTGGCCAGGCAGAGGCATTTCCTCCCCAAACACTGTGACGAGAACAGAACTCTCCCAAGTATCAAGAGAACACCAGGCCATGAGAATGGCTAGTGGTCTGGAAATTTTCTAAGTCTCATTTATGCTGGAAGTTG